TATCATTGTCTAGTTGAAATATGACTCAGCTACAGAATTGTGCTCTGTAACACCGAGCACTGCCTGTCACATTTACAGAACTATCTTAGATGGAATCATTGTCCGTCTCCGTACAAAGCACTTTCTGACATTCAGCTTTTTTATTCAGTACATTTATATGCCACTTACCATAATTTAATAACGATATCCAGTGTTTGTGTTTCTATGATGGGGTGCATAGGCTTTTTGGCTCTCAGGGCTACATCCAGTGTCATTTGGTGGGCTAGGGCCTTTTTATCACAGTGAGGGAATTAATCTGTTGCAGGAACTCCCCTGAGACCAGGATGTATTTCATGTTGTACAAGAAGAACCTGAAAAATTCTTTTAGTTAAGATTCACACACAGTTAAGGGAGGTGCTGGTTAAGGGCAAACTTTATCATTACGGCTTTCTCATTGCCTCTGTAACACTTACTGGGATTTCTGCTTTCCCTCTGGATGGGAAAATGTAGCTAGCAGAAAGGCAGAAATCATAGCAGCTTCCGTGTGTCTGAGAAAGGACGGACGGACGGACGGACGGACGGAAAGAGCTGCCATGATTTCTGTGAGAAGGGAGAAAAGCCTACCGACCCTGCCATCATGATTCTGACTTGGGGCCATTGCCACCCACAGTCGGAATGAAAAACTGGACTACAGGGAGAACTGAGTGGCACACTTGCAGCCTTAGTGGACCTCGTATAGAGCTGCATAGGGCCATGTCGATTATACGTCCCCCACCCACCAAAAATCAAATCAGACCGTAGTTTGCTCTCAGCATTTTCAAAGCTTACACACTGTCTTGCTTTGTAATCAGATTTTGCTTTCTTTTCTGCCCACTGCGGCTGCACACGTGCTCTCTCACAAAACAGGAGAATGGAAGTGCTGTTATTGTTGTTGCTAGTCGTGAAGTCGTGTCCGACCCATCGCGACCCCATGGAAGTGCTACTGTTATGCAAAAAGCAGCGAAAATACTTCTCAAGTTAAATAACCAAGACTGCCATCACAGAGTGAGGCGATCCCTTCATTTATTGCAATAGACGGGGAGAGCCCGCTCTGTCAGAATCTCTCCAAAGCACAAACACACAAATCATCTCCTTTTGGACCCTAACTCGGCCGCCATAGGCCTCCCCAATTCCTTCACTGAATGAGGTACTAAGGGGGTACAGTCTTTCCGTCTGCCTACTTCATATCTCCCATCTCATCGCACTACATACATCACATCTGCATTATAATTAGCCCATTGTCTATTTGAGGTGTGTGAGATAATATTCATCAACTGATTATGCCTGCGTGTTCATAACTACAAGTTCACTAGTTCACTCCTTTCTGGCTCCACCTTGCCCTATGACCCCCTGTCTCATAAAACTACTGGGAGCATGAGATAGAAGGCAGCCTTCTTTCTTGAAACCAATTATCTTTTTCTCCCTTCCACATTCCTTCAGACAGGCTTCATGGCTTGGTTGTTTGCCTCACTGTTTCTCAATCACTGAGTTACTTCCTTCACTACTACTGAGCATTTTGCTCTGCTTTGACGGTCTGCAGTGTTAGACAAAATGGGAGAAATATAGGTGACTTTGGGCCAGTCACAGACTCTCAGCCCGGTCCGTCTCACAGGGTTGCTGTGAGAGTAAGATTGTGAGGGGTTTAATTATGTTATCTTCCTTGAATTCTTGAAAGGACTAAAAAGTGGGATATATCTGTAATAGATAAATAATAAAATAAGATAACAAATGTACTATTTTAGGCCAGAGCACCTTTTTGATGGAGCCTAAAAAACCTTACAGCTCACTGTCTTTGCCTGTATAGTTATAACAATGCCATTTTAGCCCAAGCGTGATAACCGTGTTTTGCTAGAGTGCAATTTATGAAAAGGCAGCTAGGGCTTTACTGTAGGACAGTGAATTGTGTTCATTTTCCTGTGAAGGACACAGCCTTTTTAAAACAAAACCAAATACAATGACTTACTTATGTTTGGGATACTGTTTTTTGCATTCTCTTGTTAAAAGTAGCCATAATTTCAATCTGTTATATGTCCTTCAGTCATTAAAAAATACATTTACATTTCTGTGCCATTTTATCCTGTTTCACATTTTTTGTTAATACAGAATAAAGCATCGGTATAAAGCAATCTTTTTGCAGAGGGAGCTAATCACAAACTCCTGCCAATCAAACTTCACAGAATGTACTTGTTTTTCCTCAGAAGAAAATGAGCAGCTCTTCAGTGCATGGTCACGTAAATCTTAAGTAAGGGAATTTTCAGGTTCTTCTTGTATAACATGAAATACAACCCGGGCTTAGGAGAGTTCCTGTAATGGATTAATTCCCTCACCATTATAAAGCATATTCTCTCAAGTACAGTTTTTTAAAGATGGAGGTAGTAGAAAATACTCTCAAAGTATTACAGGAAATGTAATGTTAGTCATACTTTTCTATGCTTGTCTCAGCGCAGCAAACCTTAGGCAACTTCAGTCAACTTCATTGTATGTAACTATAGGCTCTTACAATTTTGCCAGAAAAGAGAAAGTCTCACACATGCACAGAATGAACAAGCCAAATAAATATATTCATCACCTGCACAGCTTACAGAAGTGGTTTTTCAGATCTCTGTTCTAATCTTTTTAGCAGCAACAGTGAGTAAAGCTATTTAGTTGGCTATGTAAAGATCTGTATCTACATGTTGTTTACATATTTGTTTTGCAAGAGTTCTTTCAGGCATACTACCTAATAAAGTTGTAAAAGTTTGCATGATAATATATAATTAATAAAATCCTCTATTTGTGGGGGCTCAGATAAAAAGCTGTTGAAATATGGGAATATTTGCATGCCCACCATCCACATATGAAGAAGGCATAGTCTGGAAATATAATTCTGCAAATGCTTTCCTTAGCTTAGAATGAATCATGGAATTAAAATAATGAGGGAAAAATCCACTGCCCATATAAAAGTGACTATTTTCTCTTTGTTAGATGGTTTCCATATCTTTTTTAGCATCCCAATATTAATTTTGATAAAGATACTTTTAAAAATAGGTTAAATGATTCATAAATCTAGTAAATAAGTAAATTAAATAGATTCATGGAAATGAAAGGAAGCCAAAAAGAAAGGACATGGGTCCGGTCATTCAAAAGAAGATAAAATTCAACCATCTCTGTTTCTGGTTAGCAAAGTTTAGGCAAATGGTCACCAGACATATCTATCAATTTGAAAAGAGCAAATTGCCCTACTCAGTCTGCTAGAAGTTGATGGTAGCCCTGCTTCAGTACCAAGCAGAACAGCTAGGACATAAGATGGAAGAGCAAGAATGCATTTAAATTTCATTTTGTATAACCTCCAGTTCATTCATTTTGCCCAAACTGCAAATTGTTTTTCCAGAAAGAATATATACTAAGACCTTTCCTCAAATATGATGTGTACTGTAGTTTGCTCTCATGTGAACAGATCATGAGAACATAGGTAGAGCTACGGGGAATCAGAACAAAGGTCTTCTCTGGTCTGGCATCTGTTTTTCCCAAAGAGGCCAACCTGCTGCTCGTGGAAAGTTCACAAAGCAATGACTTTTTGCCTGCTGTTTCCTAGCAGGTGATATTCAGAGACAGACTGACTCTGATCCTGGTGGAAACATATAGTCATCAGTAAACTCCATGAATTTGTCTGGTCTCCACCTGTGCTGTTCTTATTTATTTTATTTTATTAAAGTCTTTAATTTCTGCATCACCCAACAGCTCAAGTTCTCTCACCATCTCACTGTCACCTCACTGTCATAGGGAAAGAGAGCAATGGTTGGATCTTTCAGTTGGCTTCACCTATATGGTTGCTATATTCAAATGTTCACATGGCTGCCTTGAAAGATGGCACCGGCACACAATGTCCACTCTGACAGTGACAAGTTGAATAGGCCTTCCGTTCTTTCCATTTCTTCCTAGCAGTTAGAAAGCTGCTGCGGCAGTTTCCCAGGGTCCTTATACCTGATATTAGCATGGAAATCAGATGTCCTTTGAAAATAACGTTTCCAAGGATCTCTGATTTGGATGCTTTCATCCTAGCATTTGTTCCGAGTACCAGGGAGGAGAGCAGTAGGAGAGAAACAGACTACTCAGTATCTCCACTGTTGCTACATATTCCAGGCAAGAGGGCTTGGAAAGTCCCAGGATACTGGTAGTTATAGGAATATTTTGAATTCCTGAATGAGAGTATTTGTCCCAAGCATTTTCTAAAATGCTTACATAATTGCTGGCTGCAATCTCAGTTAAGTCATCAATATTTTCTTGTAGGCAGTACAGCATATCTGAACTGTCCTTATTTACTTAGTGTTTAACTATTCTCTTTTCTGAATTACAGCAACATTCTATTAAAATGTCTTAAAGTTGGGTGGAAGGCAATACTGTTATGATGTGAGTGAGACAAGCCTTTCAAACAGGTGTGTCCCTTAGAATGAGCAATATTATAAGTTGCTTTGTATGTATGCAGTAGGCAAGGTGACATTCACATTAATTTCATTATACTGCAGAAACTTTGCAAATTACTGTTTGAAATATGTTACTCTGCTCAAGAATAGATTCAAAGTTCATGCGAAATTGCTTTATTAAATTCCTTGTGCAACCCCTTTGATTACAGCAGTTTCTATACATCTTTTCAGAAGGAAAGAACAAGGGAGGCAAAATTCCTATTTTACTGGCTTACTAAAGCTAATGAAAAAATATGTATCATGCTTCTTCCATAATTTAATGATATCTATCATTAGTGAGAAGCAACATTTGTGTTCCATATTAAATTATCTTTTGTGACTCAAAACGAGCTCTCTTGGTTTCCTTAGAATTGGTACTGATCTATTTACTGGATAATTGCCATACTGTTGGCATTTTTACAAGAGAGGCAGTTTCAGGAATAGCTGTTACAAGAGCAGTATTTAAAACATGTGCTGTAGCAAAATATGTCCTCATCTTGAGTCTTTCAATTAATGTGTGATTCTTTTATAACTCTACAGCAGACCAATCAGGAATATTATTTATAGGAGATGCATTAATACAGGTCAGTTTCTTATACACTTGCTTCAAAAGTATGTTGCTGTTTTAATGCTTATATGAAACTCTGGTATTAACCATAATAACCCTGTTGATACATTTTTAGGTTAATGGAATAAACGTAGAAGGTGCTACCCATGAAGAAGTGGTAAGTTCTTCATTTTTCATTAAGATATATACTGCATATTGTGACTGATATTAAGTGTTTCCGTGTCGGTTCTCAGCAGTTTAAACTTATAAAGCCACAAGTCTGCATACGTCTTCACATAGGCCCTGCATCTATTCTTCTGTGATGGTTCTCCTGTCCCCATAAAGCCAGGAGTGTCCCTTCCAAGGTTGAGTGGTTTGTGAGGAAGCCACTCCATACATGGAGGACTAAGTTACACTATACATCTTCCTCAAGGTTAAGTGGGGGGCGGGGGTGGGGGCACCCGAAGGGAAGCTGTAATTTGTAAGGACCTGCTAATGAAAAACACTATCAGTATTGACCATCCAATTAATGGATCCCGTCACCTCCATCTTTTATTTTATTTTGCTTTTGAAAGACATTGGATTCATAGTTTAGGAAACAACCAGCAGTGTAGTGGAGCCAGGGTGTGCAAATAGGCAGTGCCAGCATCTTTTAAACTTACTGTTAGCAGGGAGTCTGCCATCCACCTAAGACTCTTTGCTGCCTTAGAACTTAGCTGTAATCCTCACAAGGGGCTGTAATGAATTTACTGAACAATAATTTATTGTTCACTGTTGTAATGCAAAATATTTCAGTCTTGAATGGGCAATTATTAAAACACCTTACTTCACAAAAAACCTGCTCCTGGTGATGTGGAAAACTGCTAGGACTGTTTTGTTGACCTGGAGCATCACTGCTGCCTGAATTTTTGTACTGTCCTTGGCAGACATGGCCATAGGGACTTTCATGAAGAGATCCTGCACAGTGAAATGTACTGCTACACCATTGGAAACTATTACATTTCTAAGAGAAGCAGAAATAGCTCACCATTGGCCACTCTGTAATTCGTTCGTTAGCTACAGCTATACATAGCAGCACCAAAAAATAGCACAGCCAGAACTGGTTGCAACCATTTAGGAAATGGTAACTAATGAAGGTTGGAGAGGCAGTATCTAGAAAAACTAGAGCTTTAAACTGGGAACATGTTTCCATCTAATCTAGCAAGTCTTTTCATTGTACTGTAAGTTGTCTTCTGCTTTTGATGTTTCCTTCTTCATTTCTCATTTTCTCTGTAATGTGTACATTTAAAACTCTTAAGATGTGGATTTAGTCTTGCTAATCTACTTTTCCAAACTACATGGTCTTATCATGCCCTATAATATAATTGGTGGCCATGCAGCTGAGTCCTGTGCACCATTCTTAGGGTGCCAATGTATGATTGTTGTTCCCAGTGCCCTTGCACAGCTCCCCAACATAAGCTATTTAAGAGTCTGGGGAGAATGTTTTTTCAAACTACTTTCCTGAATACCTCAGAGGTCCATCATATCTGAAGGAACATGCTTATATTGATTGTCCTTTATACCACTGCCCCATTTTCCCTTCTCTAGTAAGGAGTCATTCTCCTCATTCATGTATGGATCACCACTAAGCTCAGATATCTAAAATGGGTTCATTGATCTTGCTGCTACTGTATACTATCATTTCTAACATCACAAATACCATCACACTGTCTATTATAATAGCATCTTTTCATGCATACCTGTTTTGGGGGGTTCCATTCTTATTTCTGTTATCAGCAGTCCTGAAGTAAAGCATTTACTTTTAAATGTGTTCACTCTTGTACTAATATCTAAGGAATTGTGATGGCTGTCATGGTTTGAAATGTCAGAGCTATGTCTTCTCATACTAAGAAACAAAATACATTCCCATAGGCAATCTGTTCCATATTTAAAATGAAATGTACAATTTTCTATTCTGAATTTCTTTTGAGCTGATTATCTGCTAGTTTCCTAGTATCTGTACTGTGGCACTCATTAATACGATTCTGAGGGGGTGGGGGAATTGCACTGCATGACATCGTATTGCAAAAAGGATTACAGAAAATCCAGTAGAAACATTTTTTTCATGAAAATCATTGCTCTTGACACTGTAAGAACTTAATAACTTGACAAAAGTAACGCCAAATTCATGATAATTTTTGTCACATTATAGGATGCTAAAATGATTGCACTGAATATTAGCAATAATTTAATTTGAAAGTTTATATGCAATGTCCTATTATCCAAGTCACTTGAATGTTTTTGTGAATAGCAATTAATGTAAAGCCAATTTTTATTCTTTCCTTATTAAACCATGTGGGTGCGTATGGGAGAGGGGCTTTATATCCAGACAGCTTCTGATGAATGGAGACTGCACAATGAGGGAAAATGGCCAGTTAACATAAGCAGTGGAAGACTTCTATGCTTTGGTTTTATCAAGATATTAAGACTTGCATATACTGCAATCTTCTACAATAGATTCACAGTGTGGAATCTGTTCGTACATTTGAGTTTTCTCAACGTCTTTTATTTTTGGAACTAATCTTCTAATGGCAAAATCCCATGAATTTTTACTCAAAAGTAAGTTCCATTGTGTTCAGTGAGAGCTGCGCACAAGTTAAATGGATTGCAGAAATTTTCCTGTCCTTATCTAATACCCTCTGTGTAATGTTATGTGCTTGTTTAATTCAGTATTTTCTCTTTCCTGAGAAATACTATTTAAATAAATAAAGTTTACTTCTAGTGATGTTTAGCATTATGTTGGCATCCACATATTTTTATTTTTGAAAATAAAAATTTTCAAAATAATTTCACAGACCTAGGAAATTACCTGTACACTTAAAACCTTTCATTTAAATCTTCCATTTATTACTTATAAATGACAACATTTCAAACATTATACCATGATTTTACTTTTGGGATTTTTTCTTTTGATCCCACTTTCTCTTTTTTAGTTTGAAAAATATTTTATATGGTTAAAGTGGCAACTACATGTTCTGTCACATCAAACATATGATACTCTACCAAGAGCTGACTCTACCAAAAGTTCACCAAATTCCTCAATCACCTCTAAAGTTATCTCTGTGCAATCCAGGCTGTAATATACTCTGATATGTATATCCATGTACACACCAGTGCTACATCAGTTAATCTTAGAATACACTGTTGCATTCGGCCTTCTAAGGACATTAGACTGTCTAGCTCAATATCATTGGCTGTACCAGAGTGGGCAACTGCAAGTACTCTCATCCCTCACCATCAGTTATGTTGGTAAGTGTCAATGGAAGTTATAGTGCCACCGGCGGTTCACCCTTGATCAACACTTGACCGGCAACGCATTTGAAGACTTTCAGACAAGGGATTTACTTGGCCCCATCTAGAGGTGATTTCCTTGGCACAAACCAAGCTTCATCCTCCTTCCAACACTGGAGCTATGAAAGTATAATCCCCACTGTTGCACTGCTCTTCAGAGATGCTCTGAGTACCTCTGAAGCATCACATAATGGGGATGGGAGGAAGGACTATCTGTCCCATGCACAAATTGCATGGACAATTCACTCAATGAATCGGCCACTGTGCTGTGCCCTGTCCTCACCTGTTTTCCTATGTACACCATAAGTTGGCATTTCTGGGAGAGCTACACTAGAAGAACCAATATATTTGGTTAATATTTTAATAATAGAGTAATAGTCAGTGATACCTCTTTCTAATTCTTAGTATATGTTGGGGTGAAATTTAAACAAAATTGATTTAAGTAGGTCTAGAAAGTGAATTGTCAATTTTTGTAGTTGTTAAAGGGTGTTAAAGGTACAGTCCTATGCATTTTTAGACAGAAAAATGTTCTACACTGCCAGCATTCCCCATTCAATGGCTAGCTGGAGAATGCTGGTAGTTATGGGTCATGTTACTAATTTTTTAGAAACCTTCTACATGGTTTTGTACATTGAACCTATTCTGAATCTGCTTGTTTTGTCAGCAAAGAGAAGTTCACATGAAATTTCAAATTTTGAATTCTTAAGCTTGCACCCACACAAAGTAATAGTTCAGCTTTCATTGCTTTCTTCTCCTTTTGGTTCATTTTGAATCTTGAGGTTTTCAGGTTCTCCTTTGTAGGAAATTATTTGCCCCAGCAGTCATACTACACAACCAATAGACCATATAATTTATCTATTGAAATTAATAATAAGTATTAAAATCATCATGAGAAGGTCCCCTCCTTACAGTGTTAATTTCTGCTAGGAGGCAATATATATGAATATAACATTCAACATTCATTTGAAAATGTGGTTTCATTTTACAGCTCGCTTTAATAGATCTGCTTTATCTGCAGTCAGGGGAATGATGGTTTGTGCCACAGCAGTTCAGTCTTTGGCCAGCTAGTTCAAAACAAGCAAAGTCAAAAACCAATGAAGGTTATGGCTGACCCAACCCAGACTAATAGGAAAGCATGACATTGCACAAGGTTTAGGGGCTACACAGTCATTGGGTAGAAGGGGCAACATCACATTTACAGGGCTTTCCAAAATAGGGTTTCAAGCATGGTTCTCATGGGCAGAGATGTGCTACAAGCATCCCCTCTTGGGAATGACCGTGCTCTCTGTCTCTCCCAAGTTTAATTTTATTTCACCAAAAATTCCCAACCCCTGCACTCATCTTTCAGAAACTTTACAGTTTTGTTGCATTTATGATGCATGCCATTTGCATACAGATTGCCCAAAAAACCCCCACAGGGACAGAGAACACTGCCTTCCCACTGGAGCACTCCCTCTCCATATGGACTGTTGCATCAAGCCTACTGAAACATTGCAGATGTGCTTACAGAAGATTTCTAGGCTGTCCCAAAAGGTCAGAATGATCAGAGGGAGACAAGCATGACCTGTTTTGAACATCCTCTAAGTGTCATAGTTGTTCTTGCATAAAACCTTTTGCACCTATTCATCTGAAACTTGGCAGACTTGCCTCCTCAGTAGGGACAACTATCTCTGCAATTTTAATCCAATTCTGTCAAAAATGAAATGATTGCTTGTGGTCCATATATAGATAGATATAGATATAGATAGGTGCACAAGAGTCCCTACACCTATCTTTTGGACATTCCAAAGATTTTCACAGTGGTTACCAATACAAAAACGTCAAAGCAATGGTAGAAGCTCAGTAATA